ACCCTAAATTTATTCATACATTTCGTATATTGAATCACAAAACTCAGAACTATCCCTCAGGGCTACAGCCTGAAGATCTCCTAAGGTTCACAGCCCTGCTCATTAACTACCTTCAGGGGTTTTGAATTGAAAGTAAAGTGTTGACCCGGAAAAGGAAGGTACCTGTCAAAAAGGACTCCTTGTGGTTAACCGGGTCTCCAAACTCATAATTGAGGAGAGTCCAGCAGCCATTGGCCAGAGTTTAGCCACGCCATTCAGGCCGCGGCCCTGCTGAGCGGCCTTATGAAGCAGTTCCTGAAATAGTGTTTCAACCAATGGGCTGAGACCTGCCCACCCCCTATCCAATCGGAGGTGTGCAGCTATGTCCTCATTTGCATCTTTACCTGCCAATCAGAGCAGCTCCATAACAACCCATCAGAACGGGATAGGACGGTGCTATTTAAGCCAATCAAACTGTGAACATTTTGATTCCTCATTTGCATAAAAATGGACCTAGCAGAATCTGGCAGCCACTTGAAAAGAGGCAGCAGCCTCCCCTTTGTCTCAGGGGCTTGCACTTTACGTGGGAATCTCGCCCACAACCCTGACCTGGAATCCAACCTGCATCTCCTGGACCATAGGTCGATGCTTAGTCGCTGAGCCAAGCCTGCTGGGCCCCAGGCTGCTTTTCCCTTAGGCTGCATTCCCCTTCCCTTTGCAAACTGTTTACCTGAATAGTCTCCCACTCCACCTCACTCATGCCCCAAATTGGGGACTCCTGTTGGCACTGGATTGGTGGCAGAGACCTTTTGTTGACAATAGCAATCTGAATACCCTCAGCATTCTGAATCCTACAGGGCAAAGATGATCATTCTTGCTGGGTCAGGAGGGAGCCCCGGGAGCCAGGGGAGCTGCGGATTGCTATAAAGGGGGTAAGCCACAGAGCGCTACAGCCTGGGAATAGAATGGGTTAACAGCTACAAAGGGAAGGAGAGGAAGGAGGGAGGAGCCCATTCACTAGGACTACTCTTAAGAGTGACTCAGAGGCTGCAGAAAATAGCCAGTTCTCCCACATCTACCTCATTGTCGGGCAATGAGGCACTTCCTCATTGCACACCCATAGGCAGGGCGAGGCAAAAGGGAGGAGCAGGAAATGGGATTTTTCTAATCCATGGGCATATTCCAGTACCTGAACTCTGTGTGTATAACCATTTCAGACATTTTGTTTCAAGGCAAGTCACTATTATTGAGCACCTACTATGTGCCTGGCCCTTCATCTTGCCTTTGAGATTGTCAGTCGCCTGAACACAGGGAATGATGTCTTTCTGGTTCTATATTTCCTACTTCATTACTTAAAAGACACTTGGGCTGCTGTTGACCACCTCACTACAGTTGACCCTCTCAAGCTTACAATCAATAAGGGGAGGCAGGGACCTTTTTCCCCAGCTCTAATGCTGATTTTTTTTTTTTAATTCTCACCCAAGGATATTCTTTCCATTGCTTTTCAGAGAGAGTGGAAGGGGGAGAGAAAGAGAGATGAAAAGAGAGAGAAAAAAATGATGTGAGAGAGAACACACCAATTGGTTGCCTCCCACTCATGCACTGACCAAGCCAGGGATTGAGCCTGCAACCGTAGTATGTGCCTTTGGCTGGAATCCAACCTGGGACCCTTCAGTCTGAGGGCCGACGCTCTAACCACTGAGACAAATCGGCTAGGGCTCTAATGCTGATTTTTACAGTCATCCTGGCCCATTCTCTGGACCTGCCCTCCTTGTGAGGTGAGCAGAATATGGCATAGGTTTGGAGTCACACATCCTTGTTGGAAGTTCTTTCTTTCCCATGTACTAGCTCTATGACTACTTGATTTATCTGGGTCTCTATCGTCTCATCTGTAAAATGGGCACAAAACTGTCTATCTTATCGGTTAGGAAAGATTTATTATATAGTAGTGAAGATTAAATAAGATAACATGAAAGTACCTGGCGCAGTGATAACATAATAACTGGTTTACTTCCTTCCAACTTCCCTGTGATGGAACAGACGGACCACATCCCTCCACCACACTGTAAGCTGCATGAGGCCAGGGCTTTATTTGCCTTGAGGACTATGCCTGCCTTCGTGAGTAGAGCACTAGGCTCCTAATACTGTCCTGCTTAATAATTAAGATTAGGAATAATGTGTTAAAACGTACAAACATTATTTTGGCATTATATTCAATGGTATTATAAGCACTTACTGTATTGTATTTAAAATAATGTGATTGTTAATCATATAACCAGCTGAATCAACCTGTGAATTGGAAAAGGGATCCAGAGACCTTGACCTCAGGTAGGGATGCTTTCTCTCCACTGAGTTTTGGGTCCGGGCAGGGCTTGCTGCCACCAGAAGGACCTGCGTCTCCGTGCTCACGAGATGGGACAGCCATTCCTTGAATCCTCTGCGCTGTCCTTTGTTCCAGCTTCCCTGCAAACACCACTGCCCACAGTACAAAGGGGCCCCCCCAAAAGCCTCCGCGTTTGACAACCATATCGTGGAAAACCTTCACACGCACATGTGTAATTCCTCATTTGACTTCTACCTGGAAGGCAGGTCGGGCCGGGTTTATGCTCTCCCGGGTGGGGGGGTGCCCCCACGCCAGGGCCTCCGGAGCCAGCACCCCCTCTCAAACCGCACCTGGAAAGGAAAAGAAAGGGGGGCGTGTCCGGGCTTTTCTTCTTAGCGCCCTAGCTTCCAGCGCCACACCCACAAGCTCCTCCAGGCGAAGAGGGAGACGGCAGCGAAGACACGTTGCCGGGTTTTCAACCACTAATTCTAAAGCGGACCCCAAAGCCCACTTCAGACGTTAAGGTGGCCCATCAGTCAGGGCGCGCGCCGTTCCTGGGCTTCCAGGCCCCGGAGGGTAGAGGCCCCCCCGCCCGG